TAGAGTAAATCTTCTTAGTTACTTTACACCGCTGCACAGTAGTATTGCTACTTTCCCTTTAGTAAACAATCTGAACAATTCTTCCACCTCAGCATAACAGTAAAATGAGCACAAGTAGGCCTCTAACCCATGTACAGCCAGTGTTGATCTATATAAATAACCCTGTTGTAGTGGCCCACAGTTTGCTGACAAGAAACTGCATTTCCCGACATGCTGTGGTGAGTTCAGGTTGCCGCAATAGTGGTTGTCTAACAGCCGGCGGACTGCAAACCGAGGAGACGTTTCGTAAAGTCATGGTGATTCAGCAAATAAAGGCTTCCTCACTGCCAGTCAGTCCAAACCCGGCAAACCCATCTGTAACCACGTCTTTAAACATTTATCCAAACAGCACCGGAATATCCACGTTTGTCCCTCTCTATAAATACCACTTTAGAGGACGTAGTACTTTTTGGTGGTACGCAACAAGTGAACGCAGCAAAGCTACAACTATAGCTAGTTAGCGCTGTTGTTATACATTTAAACACTCTTAAATATATTATAGTCAATAATAAATGACGACACAATACAAAACAAACATAAACAACCTCTGAAATGTGTAGTTATTCGTATATGTACACCCAGAATCCACCCTTATCCTTATAGGGAGAGGAGCTGTATAGTAAACAGCCATCACGAGTGCCCTCGACATCCATTTTAGTAACCCTTTAAATAATACATTTAAATTGTTTTAAAGCACGCAGTTAGATTAGGGAATTGAGAACCTCATATGGCTGTCAAATCTATATAACAGAGGTGTAAATATGAAAAGCAGAACCACGTTATACGCATGATCTTAAAACATGCTAGTGGTGTTAGCCGTTAGCACCAACGGTTTCTAAGCTAACCTATAGGAGATTAAAGCAAACAGCTGCCTGCTCACTTGTCCTTGGTAATGTTGGGCAATCCCTGTCGGATTCAAGACCTCTAACGTTGCCCTGTTACCGAGGATGTATGGATTAATATTTAAACCTTTAATATTTAGTAAAAAAACAAGCATTTACCTGCTGGTCGAAGCGACGCTGGCGACAAAATGTCAGTCCGCCTTTTCCCGGAATTACTCCGCTGCTCTCTGAGGTTGGATTCTTTCATTCACAAAAAAACACAAGCGACAATGACGTCAGGTGTAAAGAATGAGGGCGGAGTTAACCCCGCCCCCGCGGCGTACTCCGGGAGGATGTAAACAAGGAATCCCTGCATCTCAGAACTTTTCCATGATCAGCCCCTTTTCTTGCTTTCCCCTGCAAAACAAGTCCTTTGGAAAGAGATTACAAACATTGGGAGAGGCAAGTTTATAGCCATCATTTACTGACACTATTTAGCATTAGAAGCACAAAGTAAACAAGCAGAATAGAACAATAACAACAAGTCCTTAAACTCACATTCCACAAACACATTCCTCATAGTTTACAGAATAAGTGGTTTATATGCTGAGACGGACATTTATGGCAGCAATTATTTCACTGCTGCATTTCTGATAATCAAGTCCTAATTTATTTTGTGAGTATATTTTATTAATCAAATGTTTATATTATATTTTATTATTTGTATTTGTATTTTATCTTTTCTTTGCTTTTCCCTGCAAAAACAACTCCTCTGGAAAGAGATGAAAAACACTGAGAGAGGCAAGTTCATAGTCACCATTTACTGACACCATTAAGCATTAGAGGTTATATGGTGGGGAAGTAAATAAATAAGGCACATTTTAAAGGTCCCATGTCATGCTTTTCTAGTTATTACCCGTCCCCTTGTGTGTTATGTAGCTTTTTCTGCATGTGAACGGTCTGCAGAGTCACAAACCCTCAAAGTACACCCTGTAGCGAGTAAAACTCTAACACAGAAAAGACCTGTCTATGCTGCCCCAAAACGCCTCGTTGGAGATTTCTCTTTTTCCATTGTTTACTTCTTGGGTATAGTGACGTATTTTGGGTATAGTGACGTAACGTCCGTGGAGCCGTTACGTTTGGACCAATCCGCGGACTTCCTCACACACACACACTCGGCGGGACGTTGCGAGGTTCGCTGCTGTGAGGAGCGGGACACTGTGAGCTGGCTCACTGGTGTGGGGTCGGCGAGACAGCGAGACACCGCGGAACTCAGCCTGGGCACACACACAAACTCCCAGCCAGGCTGCGGGTGTGTGTGTGTGCCCAGGCTGAGTTCCGCGGTGTCTTGCTGTCTCGCAGACGGCCACTGGGTTCACAGGGAGGGGGGGGGGGGGCAGGAGCTCCAACAAGCCGTTAAGGACAGAGAGTGAATACACATACTATACAGAGATGCTGTATGAGAAACCAATGTGAGTTTGGAACATTGCACAATATACATTTATTTTAGTAGACCTCAACAATGAAATTATGATCAGTAGAAATGGCCATGACATGTTAAAAGAAACAAGCAGAATACAACAATAAAAACAAGTCCTTAAGCTTAAACCCACAAACACATTCCTCATAGTTTACAGTATAAGTGGCTTATAGCTGAGACGGACACTTTTGGCATCTCCTAACTTATTTTGTTTATATTCTATTATTTGATTTGATCTTTTGTTTTTCATTTTTACTTTGAAATGTTTACATAAACTTATTTATTTTTCATTTTATGTACTTCCTATCACGAAACACTATTTTCTCCGGTGATAAATAAAGAATTTCTGATGTCAAGGTTGTTCATTAATTTGTCAGATGTTCTTTCTCGCAGGAAATAAAATCTATTTGACCATATTTGGCAACAACAGGATGTTCACATTTCCTTGAACCCTATATAGCTGCCAAATGATGAACACAAATCCACAGGAAAATATGTATCACAAATAGCCTACTTCAAAATATGCCTAATTGAATTATTTCTCTAATTGGTCAAAATATGTTTCCAATGTACCAGCAGTTGTAAATTCACATTGAACATTGGGATCAGAAGCACATTTTCTTTCCTGATCCCTATTTTACATATTTGAAGTGGAAGCTGTTCACTGGTTTGTCCTAGGTGCTGCTGTGCTCCGAGTTGACTCATAATGGAAATAGTGAATATTTTTTAGTGATGTATTTCCTGCTTGTTATCCAGCGGTGGAAAATCTGCCATGAAAAACACAAAATAGACCATATGTATAGCCAAAATATGGTACTCAGATTGTCCTATATTGTTGTGTTTTTAATGTTCTCCATTTTTGAGTTTTCTACTGATCTTTAATACATTTAAATCATTAGTGAGTGCTCTAACAAATCTAATTCAGTGTTTTGACAACATGTTTTACCAATGCTTATTTGGTGAAATGACAATGTATTTTGGTTTTGTGATTTACAAGTGCTTTATTTAAAGACACAGTTTTAAAATAAGTTGTATTAACTATTTAAATACCATGAAATTGCCTTGATTTATATCAAGGGTGTCAAACTCAAGGCCCGGGGGCCTAATCCGGCCCGCGACTTCATTTTCTGTGGCTCCACAAGAGCTTGCAAAGAATATAATATGTTTATTATACGGTTACATGCTACTTTACAGAAGCACGTTGCCCATAAACTACATGTCCCACAATGCATCTCAGAATTTGACTTTTTTTTTCAAAATATGCCTTTTTTCTTAGAAATTTCCTTTTTCTCAGAATTAGATTTTTTTTTTCAAAATGTCACTTATTTTTTTTATTTTTTTTCAGAATTTGGCCTTTCTTTTTAAATCATTTTGTGACATTCTTACTGAAGAGACTTGCAATTATTTGCCCTAGACTTCTGCTTTCAGACGTAGTTAATTATGAAGTTATTACCCTATCCGATAATAATCAAATGCAGAGGCAATATTGTAATATAATAATACATACATTATTAAGCATATTATGTATTTTTAATATAGTCTTAAAGTTACAACAGGCCCTTTGAGTGCAACCATAATGCTGATGTGGCCCGTGATGAAATTGAGTTTGACACCCCTGATTTATAGTGATCACATGAACACAATGAGAGACATTAAGTTGTAAAAAAGGAACAAACTAATAAAAAAAATTAGAAGATAAAATAAACTCACAAGAAAAATAATTGCTATAAGAAAATGACAACTTACTTCTTTCATACAAACATATGTACAGCATTGAAAACTAATTATGTGATAACCGGGACGAGAACATATATATATTATACTACTATACGTCATATCAAATATAATATAGCTAAACACCTAATATTAAATTATTATTTTAATACTGTGAGCCATGTTCATCTCTCTGAATATATTTTACACATTTCTATATATCCCAACCTCTCTAAAAATCAGCACAGCCCTCCACTTTAAAATATAATACACTGCAGTTTGTCATATATTGTCATGTATTCATTGTACGAAGTTTTAGTTTATTTGGTATATTTGGTGTAAATACTTGTCTGTATTATTTTTGTTATATTTTCTATTTATAATTGTTCTATTTTTGATCTGCTCTTACAACTTATTACAACTTATTACCTTTTGTTGTATATATTTGCACCACCATACATCAAAATAAAAATGTGTGGTATCTGGCAAGAAACTGTATTGACCCGTATTGACACCACAGATTTAAAAATTGAACTGTTGAAACAACATCAAACATTCAACTGCTACTCAGTAGTATGTATCTAATACCTAATATATATATATCATTCCAATAACTTGTATATAGACTCATACTGCACTATTCCACATCATAACTTTATTTCATTTTTATAACTATTATTATTTTTGTATTGCTCATGCTCTTATTGTTATTATGTTATGTTATTATGTTGCATTGTTGGAGAAGCCTGTGACATAAGATTTTCAACTGCATAATTACTCTGTAGCTATGTCAGATTGACAATAAAGAACCTTGAAGCCTTGAAGCCTTGACAGGCTGCTGTTACACCTCCTCCTCCACAGGGGGCGCTGTTCACTCCCGGCCACTGTACAAACTGACCCCTGCCCCGCTTACGTCATCCGTCCCTGACAAGCTTCACGTTTTTCCCACTGTGACCTCGGACTGTCGTTGCATCAAATGCACGCCTCCTCCTAGCATTAGCTTTAATGAAAGACTGCTAGGAAATCTTAATAAAAACACGAAGAACACCTTGTTGGATTTACCGCGTCTTCTAGCCACTTGTAAACAGCTATTTTAACCCGGTAAAAAGCAGCGGTCCGGCGCGAGAAACATGCCCCAAATTGAAGAGCTTTCCCCCGATTCGGGCCCGCTGTCTACCCGGCCCCCGGAGGACGAGATAGACGACGACGAGGATGAAGATGTAAGTGGCTAATCATACTTGGAAACATCTACAATGGGGTTAAAAAACAATAACATTAAATACAGTTTTTATGTATTTTTCTACCTTGTTCTTCTCTTAGCTAAGATATGCTAACATGGCTGTACCAATGCTACCTAGCTTGTTAGCCACCTGAGGTTATGACTGAAAACGGTATGCTCTGTTGCAGTTATACACTATTATTAACTAATTCAAGCTAGTGTTCAGTGTTATTTCACTATCATGTTATGTGAGTATCTAACAAGGTGTCACTGGTTCACACAAGCTTCATAAACTTGCAGCAAACTACAGGATGGAAAACTGTATTAACCAAGACTATAGATTAATGAGGCTATATATTCTTCTGCATGCCTTTGTATTCCTATTAATTATTGTTCTTTTCATAGTTATGATTGTATATTATAATGTAATGTTAGATGCTGCTTGATTTTTAAATCTGTGTTTTTGCACCAAAGCTTCATGTCTTAATGTTTGTGTTTGTCACCTTCAGCTGGATGAGACCATGATGGAGAGGTTGTGGGGTCTGACGGAGATGTTCCCTGACACCGTCCGCACCGCTGCTGAGGTCTCTGCACAATGCTCTGTCTCACTGGCCAAGCAGTTTTACAGGTAAATCTCCTGATAAACCATTTTATTGCAGGAATGTGTACAGTGCGTCAGAGAGTCCTGTGGATCAACAGATTAAAGTGCTAATTCCTGGGTCTGATCCCAGCAGCAGTTATTCACAACAGAAAGGATAATAGCTTCTAATGGGTGCAAAAGTTACATTTCTTTCAGCATGTCTCTAAAATCCATAACTAACCAGTTTGTTATCTCGTTTCAGTTTTTCTCGCGCGGCGCTCTGGGTCGGCACTACCTCCTTCATGATCTTGGTACTTCCTGTTGTGTTTGAGACGGAAAGACTACAGCTGGAGCAGCAGCAGCTACAACAGCAGAGACAGGTGAGACTCTTTGTGCATTTACGATAACCAATCAACACACCAAAGCCCATTGAAGCTTTGAAAGTCACTGATTAAATGGGGAACATTAGTGTGTGCGGCAAGCAGGAAAACTATTATTTAAAATTAAATATGTTCTTTTTGAATGGTTAACCCCCTACAGAAATGGATTAAAGCAGTATATTTTTTCGATAACAACATGTTCCGATATTAGGAATGATTACATTTATCTGTCAACACATTTTGAATCTTGTGCTTCATGCCATGGAGTTATGGGAAAAGTTTGGGTCACATGAGTTCAAAACAATACCAAGCAGCCACCTCTGTAATCTAATTCTAATATTATTTGTGGGCTCATCTCTATCTGCAACGGTGCAGAGAAACCAAGGTCGCACAGAATGAATAGACGTTCAAAAGAGTAGCTGTTCGGTATCGGAAGACTTTATTTAAACCCGAGTAAATTGGCTTTTATGGCATGCATACAAGAAGATGGAAAAAGATATATAAACATAAGAAATGAAGTCAGAATGTGCAAAAAATAAATGATAATAATATATTAACATATGACAGGGTTTTCCACACATAGACTTTACTTGGGCGGGGCCGCCCAGGTATATATTGCGACCCATTTAGGTTTCTAATTTTATTTTGTATTTTAATCCATCCGAGAGCACGACGCCATCTGCGATCGATTAACTAGTGGACAATGATCCCTCGCTCTACGCCTCCTGTACCTGTTCGCTCTGCTATCGTGTGAAGGGTCTGCTAACAAGCGACCAACAGAAAGGGAGACCTTACGAGAAACATTGTTGTTGCACGTCACAAAGCCACCCCCCTCGTACCCGGCTACCACCACAAGTATATTTCAGATCTGTGGTAAACACGCAGGGTGTCCGCGGGGTCTTAAAAAGTATTCAAAGTTGATAAATCAATTTAGCGAAAATGAAGGCTATTAAAAAGTATTAAACGGCATTTTCCAAGGTATTACTTTTTGTAGCTTGTTTTCAATAAGTATATAAATTGTCCAAAGAGGTTGTATTCTACAGTCTGCCTGAATGTAATCATTGCGTAGGTGTGTAGTGTGATTCTGTGTAGTTTATTTATGTCATCCCGTTGGATTGGACGTCATCTGAACAGGACATCGCACGCTCACTGCTTGATAGCGCACGAAGGTCCGTTTACGCCGGTTGTTAAACAACATCGTTATGGGGAAATGCAAGTCTGCGTCCAAATGGTTGGAAGATAAGGAGGAAGGACAATCAATACTGTATATAGTCAATGTGAGGTGAAGTGTGTCGCCAATGTAACCGGTTAAAACTCCAAGTGGCGATGAGGTCTTAAAATGTATGGAAAGGGTCTTAAAAAAGGTCTTTAAAAGGTCTTACATTTGACTTCAGGATTCCTGCGTATACCCTGACACTGTATGATCATAAAAACAAAATATATTATATAATTTGAATACCAATGTTGTGAATTTAGCTTAATACTATTTAAGACCTACAAATTCTAATGATTAAACATACTGTACGTGACGAGTACATTGATGAATAACCTGAGTGATGGACTCTCTCTATTCCAGATCCTGTTGGGGCCGAACACTGGGATGTCTGGGGGGATGCCGGGCATGATGCCTCCTGTACTTGGAAAGATGTGAGAAACAAGAAGGGCCGACATGAACCTGAGATCTGCTGCCAGCGATACAGCCGGGGCTGGTTCGCAAGGAGAGACAGAGAGAGCATGGAGAAGGGCAAAGAACTGCAGTTAAAATATTAATGGGAAGCAAAAGCTGCAAAGAAACGGCATGACAGGCTCACTCCAATGCAATGGATCGACCAATGGGATTGGAGGAGGAGGATCTGATGCGTTTCCCTCTCACTGTCTCTCCTTACTCCAACATCATGCAGAGACTTATTTCCAGGAGCACTGCTTCTATTTTCTTTTTCCTTTTTTTAAATAAATCTATCAACATAAATAATGTTTTCTTTAGGGGATAGCAGGTGCAAGTGGATGCATTGAAAGAAAAAAAAGGTTATCGTCTGTCTTTGGTGTTTGCAGTCTTGAGAACGTTGTTTTACTCGCAGTATGTTGGCATTTCCATCATCATGTGCTTGCTAGTTACACTTCTACATGGAGAATTGTGTTAATTAAAAATATCTGACAAGACAGGTTTGATGAAGATTAACTTGTAGGAATGTGACCTTGAGGCACATTCCTGTCTGTACATCTGTCACAGTTCAAAAACGGTTTTATGTTTGTCAGTGCAATGCCTCTCACTTCACGGTTTTATCATACTGCTCTGGTTTTAAGCAATGGATTGTATAACCCAACAACACCAGATGCAATGCTGTTTAAACATTAAAAGATTTTGGTGTCCTTTTTCCATTGATCGTATGATGAAAGCGGAGTTATTTTGTCATTGAAGACGTGTGAAAAGGTTTTGGATAAATCTGGTTGGAGAAGTTTTGACGCTCAATGTTGTCCCGACATTGCAGACGTCTGCACAGAATGTTATTTTTTCTGTTTTCATCCATGTGCATTTACAATCTCTTACCTCTGTTCAGTATGCAAACCCACATCTGTTTTTTGTGTTCAACATGACTGCGGTAATTAAACAACAAAACAATGGAAAGCTATGTGTTTACTTCGGGATGTGGGGCGTGTATTTGCTCAACCTTAATAAACAAACCATAAAGCATAACAAAATTATTAATAAAATACAACAATATAGGAGTATAAGATTAACCTTAACCGATTTCTTTTGAATTGTATTTTCAAAACTGGCAAAGAAATACCTATAAGACGCAAATGCCATTTTTGTAGTTCTTTAAAACGACACTGAAAATAAGCTGTCATTTTTGCCAGTATCAAATGCTGCATTCATAGCTCTTTTTGAGCCCTCGTTCATTTGGGTTGTACAGGGAACCTCGGTTGTTTTTGGTTTAAAACAGTTACTAATTAGCATTACAAAAATATGAAATTATTGTTAATTAATTTGTTGAATTTTACACTTCTCCAATTTCACAGACATACTTCTTAAGGAATTAAAACGTTTAATATACGTCCATTATTTATGTTCTCTAAACGTATAATTTTCTAATTTCCGAGTGCACTTGAATAAGAAATCATATTTCCCGCCAGTGGCCGTGTGCAAAGCCTTCAAGGAACAAAGATAACTACGCTTTGTTAAAACTTACATTCTTTTTAGTCAATATCTTAAGATTATTGTCTTTTTCTAGCCAATGTAATTGAATAATTGAATTTATTAAGCGAATTTACAATTCATCCGGTTTTACTGACAGTTTTATTTATGTCTTTAACAGTTAAATTAGCAGTTTAACATTAAGGTATTCATAAAGGTAGAAGCTAACGTTAGCTTAGCTTAGCTAAAAGCTAAACCGACAACATTTTTTAAACTTTAATTTGTTTATACTAACGATAACATCAAAATGAAAGCTGCAGAGGACCAGGTTGTTGAAGAGGACACTGGTTTCCAGGATGATGAGGTGAGATTATGCTTTATTTTTATACATTATGATTAAATTATAGCATTTAATGAATCTATGCTAACTAACAGTGGCTTTCCCTGACTAGAAAATACCCATAGCTGTAAAAGTTAACTAACTAGCCATCAATGCTAATTAACATCCTTTCTAAACTATTTAAATCAATATAATACATAACATAAATAAATAGTTCCAATTTAAAATAAAAACTGCCATATAGGTGCACACACTAGAAAAAAGTGAGACAACTTTATATATCTTTAAATAATTTATTAGTAAGTTATCAAATCAATTTAAAGTGTATTCATATAGCCCAATATCACAAAACACATTAGTCTCAGTGGGCTTTACAGATTAACAAACATGAATGACAGTGCTAAAAGATAAATACATTTGCAAGAAAAAGATAAGATGGAAGACAAAAGATACAGATAAAATACAACAAAAATTAAATTAAAACAATGAATACTATAACATGTAGGACTCAAAACATAGTGTGACCTTAACCCTTGTGCCCTCCTCGAATTTTCAACCTTTCGACCCCTTCGTGGCAAAAATGTACACGCCCATAATAACTGCTACTAAATCATCATACATCAACATTTCTTTCCACGTTTTTTTTCATGAATCACTTAAACAACTTATAACGTACTCAAAACTACCAAACATTCAATAATTTTCTGGATTTTAACCCTTTAAATGCCTGTTTAATTATTTGAATTATTTCATTATTTATGACAAAAAACACAAAAAATGAATTTTTTTCAATATAATAATTAGTAGAGGGATGGAACTTTGGTGGTTATTAGAGTCTTGGATGTGTCAAAGATTAGCAACAAAATTGATTTCACTGCATTATTATTTTGTACGTAGTGTCAGATACTACCTCTGGACACCTTCGTGGCAAAAATGTACACGCCCATAATAACTTCTATTAAATCATCATATATCAATATTTCTTTCTACTTTTTGTTTCATGAATCACAAAACTACCAAACATTCAATAATTTTCTGGATTTTAACCCTTTAAATGCCTGTTTAATTATTTGAATTATTTCATTATTTATGACAAAAAACACAAAAAATGAATTTTTTTCAATATAATAATTAGTAGAGGGATGGAACTTTGGTGGTTATTAGAGTCTTGGATGTGTCAAAGATTAGCAACAAAATTGATTTCACTGCATTATTATTTTGTACGTAGTGTCAGATACTACCTCTGGACACCTTCGTGGCAAAAATGTACACGCCCATAATAACTTCTATTAAATCATCATATATCAATATTTCTTTCTACTTTTTGTTTCATGAATCACATAAACAACTTATAACATACTCAGAACTAGCAAACATTCAATACTTTTCTGGATTTTAACCCTTTAAATGCCTGTTTAATTATTTGAATTATTTCATTATTTATTACAAAAAAACACAAAAAATGAATTTCTTTCAATATAATAATTAGTAGAGGGATGGAACTTTGGTGGTTATTAGAGTCTGGGATGTGTCAAAGATTAGCAACAAAATTGATTTGACTGCATTATTATTTTTTACGTAGTATCAGATACTACCTCTGGACACCTTCGTGGCAAAAATGTACACGCCCATAATAACTTCTATTAAATCATCATACATCAATATCTTTTTCTACTTTTTTTTCATGAATCACATAAACAACTTCTAACGTACTCAAAACTACCATTTTCGGTTTCGATTTTAACCCTTTAAACGCCTGTTTAATTATTTTCATTATTTCATTTATCTCAAAAATGCCTCATTGACTTCCATTCAGACCACATTTGTTGATCTCATTGCCATTGCAGTATAAAACCATGCATTTTGTAATGTCAGCATTTCATTTAGAAGAAAAGTAGTGATATTTGATATTTCTACTCTATTCCAACAGATTAAACCATTTTCCCACTGTAGGCTGATGCATTAAATTCTTACATTTTTGCCAGTTATTTTATGGAGCCGTGTGACTACCAGGGGGCCCCGAGAGTGGTGTGTGTGTGTGTGTGTGTGTGTGTGTGTGTGTGTGTGTGTGTGTGTGTGTGTGTGTGTGTGTGTGTGTGTGTGTGTGTGTGTGTGTGTGTGTGTGTGTGTGTGTGTGTGTGTGTGTGTGTGTGTGTGTGTGTGTGTGTGTGTGTGTGTGTGTGTGTGTGTGTGTGTGTGTGTGTGTGTGTGTGTGTGTGTGTGTGTGTGTGTGTGTGTGTGTGTGTGTGTGTGTGTGTGTGTGTGTGTGTGTGTGTGTGTCATTTCCAGCAGCAGACTAGCAGGTCCTGCAGCATGTGACCTGGTGCTCTCAGGTGATAGAACAACATTTTTTTAGGCCTGTGCACAACCAGCACACACCTCTCCTCCCTCTCCGTGTGTGTGTGAGAATCTGTAAGCATGCACAGATCATTTCATGGGAACAAAAGGCCATCTTTTGAGGGATGTGTTTGATGTGTCTTTGAAGAGCTGCTTGATTGTTTATGCACCTGGCTGCCAAAGATAAACATGCAGTTTGACCAAGGGCTTATTTCATTAGTGAGCAGAGAAGGAGAAAGACCTGGAGCAAAGAGAAGGAACTCAAATGAAGAAGCTTTTCAGTGCAGAAGAGACTTCAGAAATAATCTTGCAGCCTTCTTCTGCCAGCGAGCTGCAGGACTCATCTGAAGAAGACACAAGGTTCGAGCTGGGGTCTGACACTGAATGCTCTCTGGAGTCCAGCATTTCTTTGAGTTCCTCTGACCCTTCATCTGAAAGTGGAGAGGACACTGAGGGTCCGACCCACAGTGAGGGGACAGAGAAGAACGGAGGTCGTTCTCCCAGGAGCTGGGGAAAACCAGGGTGTCCTCACAGATTGTGAGAAGAAAGCCCCCCGTGGTGGTGGATGGTGGGCCGGACCCTCAGTATCCTCTCCACTTTCAGATGAAGGGTCAGAGGAACTCAAAGAAATGCTGGACTCCAGAGAGCATTCAGTGTCAGACCCCCCCTCGAACCTTGTGTCTTCTTCAGATGAGTCCTGCAGCTCGCTGGCAGAAGAAGACTACAAGATTATTTCTGAAGTCTCTTCTGCACTGAAAAGCTTCTTCATTTGAGTTCCTTCTCTTTGCTCCAGGTCTTTCTCCTTCTCTGCTCACTAATGAAATAAGCCCTTGGTCAAACTGCATTTTTATCTTTGGCAGCCAGGTGCATAAACACACTAACAGTTGTTTTTTGTTTTTGAGTAATCAAGCAGCTCTTCAAAGACACATCAAACACATCCCTCAAAAGATGGCCTTTTTTTCCCATGAAATGATCTGTGCATGCTTACGATTCTCACACACACACACACAGAGAGGGAGGAGAGGTGTGTGCTGGTTGTGCACAGGCCTAAAAAATTGTTGTTCTATCACCTGAGAGCACCAGGTCACATGCTGCAGGACCTGCTAGTCTGCTGCTGGAAATGACACACACACACACACACACACACACACACACACACACACACACATGCACATATACACACACACACGCACATACATATACACACACACACACACAGGCACACGCACACACACACATACACACACACACACACACCACTCTCGGGGCCCCCTGGTAGTCACACGGCTCCATAATATAACTGGCAAAAATGTAAGAATGTAATGCATCGGCCTACACGGAGACTTGTGTAATCTGTTGGAATAGAGTAGAAATATCAAATATCACTACTTTTCTTCTAAATGAAATGCTGACATTACAAAATGCATGGTTTTATACTGCAATGGCAGTGAGATCAACAAATGTGGTCTGAATGGAAGTCAATGAGGCATTTTTTAGAGAAATGAAATAATTAAAAATAATTAAACAGGCATTTAAAGGATTAAAATCCTGCCAATGATTGAATGTTTGGTAGTTTTGAGTACGTGAGAAGTTGTATATGTGATTCATGAAAAAAAAGTAGAAAAAGATATTGATGTATGATGATTTAATAGCAGTTGTTTTGGGCGTGTACATTTTTGCCACGAAGGTGTCCAGAGGTAGTATCTGACACTACGTAAAAATTAATAATGCAGTCAAATCAATTTTGTTGCTAATCTTTGACACATCCCAGACTCTAATAACCACCAAAGTTCCATCCCTCTACTAATTATTATATTGAAAGAAATTCATTTTTTGTGTTTTTTTTTAAGAGAAATTAAATAATTAAAATAATGAAACAGGCATTTAAAGGGTTAAAATCCTGAAAATTATTGGATGTTTGGTAGTTTTGAGCACGTTAGAAGTTGTTCAAGTGATTCATGGAAAAAAGAGTTTAATAAAATATTGATGTATGATGATTTAATAGCAGTTTCTATGAGCGTGTACATTTTTGCCACGAAGGGGTCCAGAGGGTGCAAAATGCATCACGAGAGTATACAAAACATGTAAGAGTAAACGACATTGGATTTCAAAAATGTGACTCAACAGAAGACTTCTTGCAAAAATCCATGCCAAAAGCTGTAACACAGCTGAAATGATCACCAAATCAAAAAAAAAAGTCAGGAAAAATGTACAAAAATGCCCGAGGAGGGCACAAGGGTTAAACCAGCTCTAGCTATGTGCTTTTTTTTTTTTTTAAAGGAAAGTCTTCAGCACACTCTTAAAGTTAATAATTGATATTTTTCAATAATTTTGTTTACTCCTCAGCAACTACCTCATGTATATTTTCTCTTTCTCTGAAACAGGAGTCCTTCTTCCAGGACATCGACCTCCTACAGAAACATGGGATTGTGAGTAAACAGGGCGGTAACACAATCAAAGTTTCTTACATCAAATCAAAATGCAGTTATCAATGTGAGCATCTTGCCGTCTTCTCCAAGCCCCCAGGAAGTGCGCCGGACTCCGAGGAAAATATTCGTTGTGGCCAAACGGCGGTACTACACTTCCGTATCAGTCCTTGGGCCCGGAAACACTTTTTCCCATTGACTAACATTGGGAAAGAGACGTCTGTAAATCGTTGGATAATTTTTTTTAAACTAAATAAACTACCCAGTATGAACATTTGTATAGAGAGGCGAAGTCCCGCCCTTCTATTTCCGACCCATGGGACCTTATTTCAGAAAATTATGTATTGAAGTCAATGGGGAGAGAAAGATTATCTTTCGATCCCGTTTGAATTGTGCCACGAATTACACATATGATGTTTGTCAATCTTAAAAAATCATTTCCATGTAAAAAAATCACAGTTTGTCGTAAAACTGTTGAAATATAAGACTATAAAAAATACGCAACTAGAAAGACTACAAATCCCAGAGTCGCGTAAGTGATGTCATTAACGTTACACATTACACTCGTGTTACTCACCGAAACCTTGTAAAGCCGGTCCCGCATGCTGGCTCTTATGAACCGACTAACTCCCCTTGTGTGTATGTACAGCTCTCAACATGCCCAGACTTGTAGTGATTTTCACCTCTTTTAATACTTTTCGCCTCATTCTGAAAGAAAGAAGTGAAATGTGCCAACGTGACGGCCATCTTGGTGTGTGGTGCGAGACGGGAGTTGTAGGTCATTGAGCGGTTCACACAAAAAAAAGTGTTACTTCACAGTTTTACGACACATTTTAATTTTTTGGACTTGTAAAATTATCTTTTAAATTGACAAAACGGCATGTGACGTGTTCAGTACTACATGAGTTTTACCTTTACCCATGGATGTACAATAAGAACGGATTATATGATTATATGAATACTTTCGTGACGTTTCGCTCTCTCAAAAGTTGGGCCATTTTGTCTTCATGCGCCAATGAGCAACTCTCATAGGAATGAACGAGACCCCGCCTCCCACGCTGTATCCAGTTGTTATTATACATCCATGGTCTTCTCCCCTTTAACCACAGAATATGGCGGACATTAAAAAGATGAAGTTGGTGGGTATCTGCACTGTGAAGGGGATCCAGATGACAACTCGTAAGGCTTTGTGCAACATCAAGGGTCTGTCAGAGGCTAAAGTGGAGAAGATCAAGGAGGCTGCTGGGAAAATGCTGGTAAAATGGGATTTTTTTTTCACTGTCATTCTTCAACCTTCAACTTTGTCGCCTCAAGACTGACTTACTTGAGAATATTACAGAATATTTAATGTATTAGATATTTTTATTTTACATTATAGAATGTTGGTTTCCAGACAGCCTTCGAGTACAGTTCGAAGAGGAAGCAGGTGTTCAACATCACAACCGGGAGCCTGGAGTTTGAGTTAAGATTCACTCTTAAAGTTTATATATTATGTATATTTTGTGCATTTACATATACTATATACTCAAGGTTGGAGATATCATGACATCATACTGTATGTTATCCTCTAGACTTTAGTTGTTTTATTATTGTGATATAGCTTAAATTTGTCTTATCGTATTCTTAAAGGCTACGTCAAAGTTCATTGAGACTATTTCTTTATTCATAGGACGTTTCTACTAAAGCAAAGGAACAATTTGCTTGTTTGTTTTATCCAAATGACTAATGATTGCTTTGTTAGAGCACTAGCAATAGTCATAACCATTAAATAATTGGGAGAGATGAAACCCTCTTTAGTGGTCACACATGCAGAGCACACAGTGACATGTGTTCTCTGCTTTAACCCATCCTAGTACCAGGAGTCTAGTTCTAGGAGCAGTGGGCAGCTATTGTACAGCGCCCGGGGAGCAATGGGAGTGGGGGGGGAAGGGGGGTGTCCGGTGCCTTGCTCAAGGGCACCACGGCAGGGCAGGAGGTGAACTGGGACCTCTCCAAGTAGCAGGCCACACTCCATATTTTATGTCTGGACTTGAACCGGCGACCCTACAGCTCCCAATCCAAGCCCCTACTGACTGAGCCACTGCCGGACAAGGATAGGAAGGACCAAATTATTTAACATAACCATAAAACTGACACTTAAAAATGATGTTTAGAAAACCAGATATTGTCTAAACAAACATTCAAACTTATTTTTCTCTCTGCAGTAAACTCTTGGGTGGAGGAATAGAGAGTATGGCTATAACGGAGGCGTTTGGAGGTGAGGAGGTGTCTTTGTTCATTTAAATACACTGTGTATCTTTATATTGTTTTAATGGCAATCAGTTTACAGCACTGGCTACAAACTAAAACTGCTTTATTTCACCCTACAGAGTTCCGCACAGGGAAAACCCAGCTCTCTCACACTTTCTGTGGTGAGTAAAGAGCATTTTGAAGCATGCGATGCTTCCTCTTTCAGGTAAATACAATTTTTTTTAATTAAAATAAAACTGATTCTGTGTTTCTTTTGTCCAGTCACTGCTCAGCTTCCCGGAGAGAACGGCTACTCAGGCGGGAAAGTCGTCTTCATTGACACAGAGAACACCTTGTATCCTCACAATAATGGAAACAACCAAACAGTTTAGTTGATGTTTGACTGTATCATTGATAGGGATGCTCCGATCGATATCGGCCGATATTCACTCTCTGCCGTTCGATCGGTGCTCTCTAAACATGCCGATCGCGAGAGCCGATCGCATGACGTAAAATACATGACACTTTTCTCTGTGAGCGGCAAAACAAGCTCGCCAAAATGACTTCACCAGTCTGGCAGTATTTTAAGGTGTCCGAAAAAGACAGTAAAATAGCGGTATGCAACGTGTGTGTGAAGCAGAAATCCTGCAGCTTAACGGACGCTGTGACGGACCGGTGAGCGGAGCAGAACACACACTAAGAGAGAGAGAGAGAGAAGAGAGAGAGAGGGAGGGAGGGAGGCAGGGAGAGAGAGCGCTTCTGCTCATTTCTCCCGTGTTAGTATCCAAAGTTAATGTAAACTTGAATAATGTACTTCATTTGAATGTAATAATGATGTTTGTTGTTGTTTGTGGAAGCGCCAGTGAATGAGCCCCATTAACTGAGTTTTAAACATCACTTTAAATGGAAGATCCCCATAGGCCCCGCCCACTCGATCGGATCGGCGATCGGTATCGGCGGATACTGATTCCGGCGATCGGCCCCAAAATTGGCGATTGGAGCATCCCTATCATTGACTTTACTGAAGAACCAAGTGTTAGTTTATTTGTTGTCCTAGGAAAAAACCTTGACTATAGGTCGTTTACATAACATTCTACCATGTAGAGAAGGGCAATATATCGATATCGTGATATAAGACTCATCTTACTACCATGTGCTAATGTTCCACTAGTTGTCCTAATGTGACTTCACAATGACTGTTTTTGTGTCTGTGAATCCGTTTTCTTCTTGTCATTCTGTTTCACTTTGACCTTGACTTGTACCTGCGTGCTTCCAGTCGTCCAGACAGACTGAAAGACATCGCTGACAGGTTCAATGTGGACCATTCTGCTGTTCTGGACAATGTGCTTTACGCTCGGGCCTACACCAGTGCGAACATAGAAATCCCTTAGACTATGAAACATGTGTTGTGTGCAAAGGCTCTCCTGTGGCAAGGTTATAATAATATTGTGTGTTGCTCCTCAGGTGAACACCAGATGGAGCTGTTGGACTTTGTCGCAGCCAAATTCCACGAGGAAGGAGGAGTGTTCAAACTATTGGTGAGTAGAGAATGATGTTTTTGTGTTAAACAACAGGTAGACACTCTAAATTCCTTCCTAGCTGTCTCAGTATTTCTATCTGCTCCTCTCTCTGTTTCAGATCATTGACTCCATCATGGCTCTGTTCAGAGTCGACTTCTCTGGACGAGGAGAGCTGGCTGAGCGGCAGCAGAAACTGGCCCAGATGCTCTCCAGACTGCAGAAGATCTCTGAAGGTCAGCACCAGGAGTGTGTGTCTGTGTGTGTTTCTGTGTGAGTGAGTGTGTGTGTGTCTGTGTGTTTCTGTCTGTGTGTGTGTGTGTGTGTGTGTGTGTGTGTGTGTGTCTGTGTGTTTCTGTGTGTGTGTGTGTCTGTGTGTTTCTGTGTGTGTGTGTGTTTCTGTGTGAGTGAGTGTGTGTGTTTGAGTGTGTCTGTGTGTTTCTGTGTGTGTGTGTGTTTCTGTGTGTTTGAGTGTTTGAGTGTGTGTGTGTGTGTGTGTGTGTGTGTGTTTATGTGTGTCTGTCAGTGTGTGTGTGTTTCTGTGTGAGTGTGTGTGTTTATGTGTGTCTGTCAGTGTGTGTGTGTGTGTGTTTCTGTGTGAGTGTGTGTGTCTGTGTGTGTGTTTATGTGTGTCTGTCAGTGTGTGTGTGTGTGTTTTTGTGTGTCAGTGTCTGTCTGTGTGTCAGTGTCTGTCTGTCTGTGTGTGTGTGTGTGTGTGTGTGTGTCTGTGTGTGTGTGTGTGTGTGTGTGTGTGTGTGTCTGTGTCTGTGTTTATGTGTGTCTGTCAGTGTGTGTGTGTTTCTGTGTGAGTGTGTGTGTCTGTGTGTGTGTTTATGTGTGTCTGTCAGTGTGTGTGTTTATGTGTTTCTGTGTGAGTGTGTGTGTCTGTGTGTGTGTTTATGTGTGTCTGTCAGTGTGTGTGTGTGTGTTTCTGTGTTTCTGTGTGTCAGTGTCTGTCTGTCTGTCTGTCTGTCTGTCTGTCTGTCTGTCTGTCTGTCTGTCTGTCTGTCTGTCTGTCTGTCTGTCTGTCTGTCTGTCTGTCTGTCTGTCTGTCTGTCTGTCTGTCTGTCTGTCTGTCTGTCTGTGTGTGTGTGTGTGTGTGTGTGTGTGTGTGTGTGTGTGTGAGTGTGTGTGTTTCTGTGTGTTTCTGTGTGTGTGTGTGTGTGTGCCAAAATGTGAAAGCCAGATACAATAGCTATAGGAGCCAAAACGTAGGCTGGCTATTGTTCCTGTGAAGGTGAAAACAAAAAGGGTAAAAGCGTCTAACATGTAATCATAACAACACACGCCTTTCTGGACCCAGGTAGTACGGCTACCTTTTGCACAGAGTCCGATCGACAGCAGCTTCAAGTGACTGGACGCAGCACAGAGATACTCCTACAAACAATGAATACAGAGAAGTCAGCTAAAACATCTGTTGCATGTGACCTTGAAATATGTGGCCTTGAAAGTAACCAGTATGTAGCACTTCCACCTGTTTACTCCCAAAACAAAATTCCAGTAAGAAAGGAAAATATTCCCTCTCAGGAGGACGTGGAACAATGGGAATACCTGAAATAAGTAAAGATACCACAAATATAGCCATATATCTTATCTGACATATACAGGGAGTCTCTGCAGAAATGATTATTGCTGTTTATTGAACAATGCTGCCTTTGTGTCTCTCACATGGTGCTCTCAAATATGCATACAGTATTAATCTAATTATGTGTTTTATTGTTCTAAAACATTAGAATACAACGTAGCAGTGTTTATCACCAACCAAATGACAGCTGATCCTGGGGCAGGAATGAGGTAAGAGTTGTCTAATCCCAAATTTTTAATACATTGGATAATATTCTGTGTGTCATTTAAAGGTCCCATGTCACGGCCATTTCTACTGATCATATTTCCATTGTTGAGGTCTACTAAAATAGATTTATATTGTGCAATGATCCTAACTCACATTGGTTTCTCATACAGCATCTCTGTCTAGTATGTGTATTCACTCTCTGTCCTACATGCCTTGTTGGAGCTCCTGCCCCCCCCCCCCCCCCCCTGTTAGCCCAGTGGCCGTCTGCGAGACAGCGAGACACAGCGAAACCCAGCCCCAAGCACACACACACACCCGCAGCCTGGCTGGGAGTTTGTGTGTGTGCTCAGGCTGAGTTCCGCGGTGTCTCGCTGTCTCGCCGACCCCACACCAGTGACCCAGCTCACAGTGTCCCGCTCCTCGCAGCAGCGAGCCTCGCAACGTCCCGCCGAGTGTGTGTGTGTGAGGAAGTCCGCGGATTGGTCCAAACGTAACGGCTCCGCGGACGTTACGTCACTATACCCAAAATACGTCACTATACCCAAGAAGTAAACAATGGAAAAAGAGAAATCTCCAACGAGGCGTTCTGGGGCAGCATAGACAGGTCTTTTCTGTGTTAGAGTTTTACTCGCTACAGGGTGTACTTTGAGGGGTTGTGACTCTGCAGACCGTTTACATGCAGAAAAAGCTACATAACACACAAGAGGACGGGTAATAACCAGAAAAGCATGACATGGGACCTTTTAAAGCTTTGAAAATATGTCTCATTATAATTTTTCTGTCTCTGTTTTAGCTTTCAGGTTCAGGCTCTTTATTTGTACCCGTAGGTAGATTAAGTTTGCAGATAAAAAGACGAAGTGATCCATCCTGACACACTCTAAAAACAAACACAGACACATCTCTAATAAAAGTACACCCTGCTCCGTCAAATCTCAAAATATTTAAAAACGTTTAAAAAGAAAAACACTAGTACAAACATGGACATTCAAAATTCATAATTAAATAAATAAATAGGGATCTGTGTGACGCTCCTATGATTTGTTCTGTTATAGCTTTCAAGCCGATCCCAAGAAGCCCATTGGAGGACACATCCTGGCCCACGCCTCCACCACACGGATCAGTCTGAGGAAAGGGCGTGCCGAGATGAGAATTGCCAAAATATTTGACAGGTAGTTCACTGTTTTTATTTAAAATATCACTAATGCAGGAACTTTTTTAACTCATTGAATTATGATGCACAATATGAAGACTACCTCCCCCTTACTTTGTTGTCAGATGAGATAGAGATCAGCTAAACAAGTTGATATTAGATTTAATATGTCCTAATAGATGCTGCGATGTCACATCAAGGTTTTCTGTATCATGTTAGATTTATTTCCTTATTTCACTAAACTCAAGCCATAAAAGAGTCTTGGACTTTGCTTTAAAGGTCACCTATCATGCTATTTTTAGGCAATAGCATAGGTCTCAGATATATACAAATATATAAAAAACATGTCTATGAAGTGTTTTGCTCAAAATACCAAACAGATCACCCATTCTAGCCATGCCTCATATCCCTCTATTTCACTTCCTGTTTCTAAAGTGCTGATTTGGGGAATAAAGCTTTAAAAAAAAAAGAATTGATACAATAAAAAGGAGGGGTCTGAGCTCATGCGGGACCCGGCAGCTACTGTCTAAACTAAATGCTGCCGTGATGAAACGCCATATCATGGATTATCAAGGATTATTTCTGAAACAGTATGGAGCTCAAAGGCTTTCTCTCTTGCCGGTTATACCACAAGGTGAGTTCCTTTTTATTTCCTGCTTCTTCACACACATGGGCTGCGTCTCACTTCTCTTATTTTTCATTTCCTCGCTCCTCGGTCTCGGTATCACCGGAAGTTGATTTGTCTGCGCCATCTTGAGTAGCGTCCCAATGGCCTTATTTTTGCCGGAGGAGCGAGGAGCGAGGAGTGAGGAGCGATAATGGAGGAGCTATAACCGAGGAACCACCAGACCATCCTTCGATGAAATCCTCAGACACTCGCCCCGCCCCCTTACTGTGTATCGCTCACTGATTGGACGATGCAGCGCATGCACTGATCTGATGCTTCTTGACATGAGAGCAGTTTCCCAGCGGAGTGAAGAAAACACATGAAACTCACGGGACTCACTCCTCAGTTCATACTGTGTTTTGTTTCAATGAATGCATCATTCAGTTACAAATATGTGATATATATGAACAACAAAGTGGTCAAAAATTATTTTATTCATTTATTGGAAACATTTTCATGATCGCTTTTTTCGTTTTACATTTTCATTTATTGTCATTTCCATTCAGTCAGTCATTAAGTGCTATTTAACATGTTAATTTGCTACATATCCACACAAACAAACTAAGTGTGCAATCCAATGAATGTTAATCTGACTGGGTTTTGATAGATAACATATCTCTTTTTCTTCTCTCAATTATTTTATTTCTATTGTGCACTCTAATCAATATTAATCCAACTATTGTTCGTTTATACATTTTAAGAATGGCGTTTATCTATTTTGAGAATGAGTTCTTATTTTATTTAATGTATTTGGGTCTACAACAGATGATACAAATGTTTGTGTCAGTAAATGTGTACTAACAGAGGCAGGGGTGTTTGTGAAAATAACGGGGACAGAGCTGCTGTCAGACGATCAGCTGTGCGGCGTCATCACAAACGGACGTCGCTTCACGTGACGCTCCGGAGGAAAGGACGTCCCATTGCTCTTAAAACTCATTTCCCTGCTTCTCGTGGTTTCCTTGCGTCTCTCCATGCTTCCCTGGTGGGACGGGACTAGTCGCAGGGAAACGACGCAAGTGAGGGACGCAAGGAATCCATTTAACCGAAGTGAGATGCAGCCATGCTCTCCAGTACAGGTTAGCTCTGAGTGTTAGCGATGCTAATGTAAACACCGACCATATTACGTCCAAAACAGTCGGGCATTGTTTCTGATAGCAACGTTTCTGATAGGGCCGTGGGTCCACATTTCAGATATTACGTCATATCGGACGCAAATCTGGATCAGCTCCGTTGTACCGTTGTTTAGAGATTTGGGTACGGAGGAAAAGAGAGAGGGTTTTATTTTCTGACGCTGCGTGAGTTCCCCGACACACCGGGGACACATATTGATGTATAAAAGACATCAAAAAGTGCATTTTGCATGATAGGTCCCCTTTAACATCGCTTTTTTTGTGTGCTAAAGTAACATTACACCCAAATAAATCTTATGATATGAGTATAAATCAACTATTAATACCATTTTTGTACATGCCCACTGTTAACATAGGCCTACTTGTAAATATGAAGATATAACAATGTATCTTTAAACAAACCTTTGGTGGTGGGATGATTTGATTTGATAAGAGTTGTGTGCCTGCAGTGTATATTACAGGTCTGTCAGATAAACTGTGTGAGATGTTTAACTAATATTATATTAAAAATAAAAACATTATGAACTCACACTTCCTTTTGATCTCTGCCTGGTATCCTTTAGTCCCGATATGCCTGAGAACGAGGCCACGTTCGCCATCTGTGCCGGAGGAGTGTCTGATGCCAAGGAGTGAACGATGAGGAGAAGAAACACAGTTATCACAGTCCTCTGTTCTTGTCAGTTTGAAGTTGTTTATGGTTTTCTTGTTAGATTTATTTATTATATTTGTATTAACTTATTACGTTTTAACTGACCATATTGTACCGTTGTACTTTTGATGTATTTATTATATTTATACGCTTTGTAGTATTGTTCCCCATGTTTCTTAGATATTAAAATAAATAAGACAACAGTTTGTAATGTACTTCTTTTAATAGTATAATTCCTTAGATTGAATGGTGGATGTTGTACTCTGATTTTTTATTAAGTAAAAGTAGTAATACAGCTTTCTAAAAATACTCTTTACAAGTATTTGTATTTCAGCAAAGGATCAATAAGTGTATCTTAACCTATAATAATACATACATTATTTAATTTAATTATTAGACAGTATTCAAATAAATATATATATAAAATGTGTCTCTTAATTACAGTGGAATATACATATAAAATAAGAACCTCAAAATTGTAATTGAGTAGTTAACCACTGTATTGAGCTTCAGAAATAAAGGTACAATTAGAGGTAACATTATGGTAAAGTTCATTGACTTGGTATATTGGTACAGTAGTGTTGAGTTAACATTAGGTACAGTAGTGTAGTTAGGGTACATTAGTGAAGTTATTCTACATTAGTGTATAGTTATGTGTACATGCGTGTATAGTTATGTGTAAATTAGTGTATAGTTATGTGTACAGTTGTGTAGTTATGGTACATTATTGTATAGTTATTCTACATTAGTGTATAGTTATGTGTACATGCGTGTATAGTTATGTGTATATTAGTGTAAAGTTATGTGTACAGTAGTGTAGTTATGGTAAAGTACAGTAGTGTATAGTTATGTGTACACATTAGTGTATAGTTATGTGTACAGTAGTGTATTGTGAGTAGTGTATAGTTATGTGTACATTAGTGTAGTTATTCTACATTAGTGTATAGTTATGTGTACAGTAGTGTAGTTATTCTACATTAGTGTATAGTTATGTGTACATTAGTGTATAGTGTGTACAGTAGTGTATTTATGTGTACAGTAGTGTAGTTATTCTACATTAGTGTATAGTTATGTGTACATTAGTGTATAGTTATGTGTAGTTATGTGTACATTAGTGTATAGTTATGTGTACAGTAGTGAAGTTACATTAGTGTATAGTTGTGGTACAGTAGTGTATAGTTATGTGTACATTAGTGTATAGTTATGTGTTCAGTATCCCCGGTAGCAGCAGCGCCTCTCGCGGTGTTCCCGGCTCCTGCAGCGGCTGTTCAGCAGCACTTCTCGTCGGCTACGGGATCCATATGCTTGTGAAAAAGCTCAGGCTCAACAAAGCAATGGCAACTTCTCCAAACCTGCTGCCGAGAGTCTAAAACATACCGGCTACTAAACGCGTGTTAGCGGACCCCACATCCACCATCCACCTTACCGGGGTACCCGAGCCTGTCAACCCGGGGAAAGGCAGCCATGGACCCGAGAGACACAGCCCCGGATTCATGGGAGCTGGAGGAGGAGGATGCCGAGGCCCAGGCTGTTGCTGCGGATCTTCAGGCCTCATTTGCCGCCCTTAACGTTAATGCCAAGCCGTTTGTCCCCAACGTGAACGCCGCGGTGTTTGTGCCGAGCTTCTTTCAAGCAAGCCCCGCAGAGACACCAGTGCCAGTCGGTGGGTGACAGCCAGCTGGAAGTAGCTTAGCTTAGCATGCTAACCCAAGCTAAGTTAGTTAGCCTTCCTCCCTGCAGTACATTTAAAGCTAAACTATCAGAGGTGGGAGAATAAGTACTCAGATATTGTAGAAGTACCAGAGTGAAGGAATACTCTGTTACAAGTTAAAGTACTGCATTCAACATGTTACTCAAGTAAAAGTATTGGCATTTAAATATACTTAAAGTACCAACAGTACTCATGCAAATTGGCCCATTTCAGAATAATATATGATATGTTTTGATTATAATTATTGATCATTAAAGTGTTATCAAAGCTGGTAAAGGTGCAGCTAATATGAATGACTTTGTATACAGCAGGGTAGCTTGTGAATTTACTCCAGGTGGAACTAAAGTCTAATTATGATTATATTTCACATCCTTAATCCAAATCTTCAAAGATATTAAAAATATGTGGTGGAGTAAAAGTACATGATATACCTCTGAGTTGTAGTGGAGTAGAAGTAGCTAAAAAATGAAATACTCAAGCAAGATACAAGTTTCTTAATATTGAACTTGAGTAAATGTACTTACGTTACTTTACACCACTACTAACTAGTCAACAAGTCAGTGTTAGTCATGTGTTTATGTGGTGTCATAGGTAATTTATAACACAGTGACATCAAGACGTGACCCTTGTTTGTCTTGTAAATACTTATGAAAGTTTGCTTTGTTTCTTCTCTCTCTAAAGCGGCCCCTGATCCAGTAGCCAACATGGAGGTGGCAGAAACAGCCGGTATGAAGCCTCACTGTTCAGGTTATTAAGTTACAGTTTGTTCCCAGAGCACAGGTGTGGTTCTACTCTCAAGTGTACCTACATTAACCTCTCACCAAACTTCATGCAGAGCAGAAAAAGCTTGGAAGCCCACTTCTGAGTCTTGAAGGTTCACTTACCTGCGCCATTTTTGGATAGCTGGCAGGGGTTAAACATGTGCACGGGCCTTCTTATAATATGATGCAACCTCTCTTGTGCCCAAAATAGACTCTTTGCCACACACTGATATGTGTGAAGCAACCGCTGCATGTGTGGGCCATTAGTCTGCGTGTCAAAAGCAAACATATTGAATCCCTTTTGCTGACTGGTTTTTATTTGCCTGAGTCAGGTTCATTCACATTTTTGGGCCTGCAGTGGGTTGGTATGTGCTTCTACTCGGGTTACAGAGAACTGGTGGTGTTTTTTGTTTTTTAGCAGAGTGGTTAAGCACTGCAGCTGAGAGTGTGTGACAAAAAAAGATCACGTGTAGAGTGACAGAGTAAACTGGAGAAACCTTTGAGTCTAGTACTTCTTAAAATCTCTGTACAAGTCTGAAATAAAGATTATAATTACTGCCCGACGGACACTGCTGACAAAGTCAAAGCCCAAATGAGCCGCATTATTCCACACGCTGATTACAATGAGGAGAAAATGGGTTTTGTACATGACTGCTGGGCTGCATAATTTCATAGCTACTGAGCGGCAGGCTTATGTGTGTGTTGCCATGGGAAGATTTTAGCCTACTAAATGTTTTTTCCTTTAGTTGAACTTGTTTTCTCTGCAGAATGATGCATTGATTTAGAATCTTACAAGGGGACAGGACTAATAGAGAGGCGAAGTCCCGCCCATCTACTTCCGACCCATGGGACCTTATTTCGGAAAAAGTATGTATTGAAGTCAATGGGGAGAGAAAGATTATCTTTCGATCCCGTTTGAATTGTGCCACGAATTACACACATGATGTTTGTCATAAAACTGTTGAAATATAAGACTATGAAAAATACGCAACTGGAAAGACTACAAATCCCAGAGTCCCGGTCCTGCATGCTGGCTCTTACGAACCGACTAACTCCCCTTGTGTGTATGTTCAGCTCTCAACATGCCCAGACTTGGAGTGATTTTCACCTCTTTTAATACTTTTCGCCTCATTCTGAAAGAAAGAAGTGAAATGTGCCAACGTGACGGCCGTCTTGGTGTGTGGTGTGAGACGGGAGATGTAGTTCATTGAGCGGTTTCACACAAAGAAAAGTGTTACTTCACATTTTTATTCTTTTGACTTGCAAAATTATCTTTTAAATTGACAAACATCATATGTGTAATTCGTAGCACAATTCAAACGGGATCAGAAGATAATCTTTCTCTCTCCATTGACTTACCTACTTTTTCCGAAATAAGGTCCCATGGAGGTCCCCCGGAAGGGGACGGACTTCGCCTCTCTATGAACGATTAACTGCATAGACAGTGAAGATTTGCAACTTTTTAGTCTTAAGACATTCATTGTTTTGTAGCATTTGCTGGCATTTTGGTCCCTAAATGACATGTGGATTTAAGGTACAGCTCCGATAGTAGTTGGTGCAAATCCAATACCACTGTCATAGTTTTTGGAGCAGTTTTGCCTTTTTAAAACTAGATTTTTAGGTTAGAAATTAGCCTAATCATCTGTTCAGTCCTTGAACTATTGTTAAAATAACAGGTGACCTTGTGGTTTAATACATTTTAGGCTGATTAAATAAGACATGATGTTAGATGCAGCACTATTACCAATAAAGACATCAAATCATTGTAATGTCTTAAATAGAGCACGTGAGTGATAATAGTGGAGGAGATAGAAGTGAATCAGTTCTGGCTTGCAAATTGGAATTTGTTGTTGGAAAAAGGGGATCTCGGTCCACATTTTTGTGCAAATGTGGTAAAAGGATTCAAGTTTGGTGTAAAAATAAACCTGGCAGGAACGTCTTGAATAGACTCCAGAATTCATCATGAATCAGTCTGCAGGTTTTCAGTCCTGCCAAGAAAAGAAGTCATTAAATACTTCCTCCTCCCTCCAGTCTGTGGGGAATAACCGGTGTATTAAATGTGTTCAGTTGCAGCTCCGGTGGAGAACGGAAGCTCAGAGGCCAAGATGACCACAGAGGAGGAGACGTGGGAGCAGAAGGAGGAGCCTGGAGGAGGAGGAGGAGGAGGTGGTGGTGGTGGTGGTGGAGAAGGGGGAGAAGGAGGAGGAGGAGAGGAAGATCTGGTACCAGGAGGAGCCTGCGAAGAGGGAGCAGCCAGGATCGAAGAAGAGGAGATGATGGAGGAGGAAGAGGAGGAGATGCCGATGCCCAAAGTGGCTCCGGCACCACCAAATGCCCCAAAGAAGGAGCATGTGAACGTGGTCTTCATCGGTCACGTGGGTGAGTCAAAACTATGCAGTCATCTAAAGAATATTATTTATCATGTAATGTTCATGTTATTTATTTTCAACCTGTAGGTAGGTTTAGGTTTGCAGTTAAAAGACAAGGTATCCATTGTGACATGTTTCAAACAACATGGGGCTAATTGTTAAAAAGTACCTCATGTCAAGTTTATTTATATAGCATCTTCATTAAAAAACACTATAAGAAACATGAACAATCAAACGTTTTTTATATATTTGACCTTTTATTACCTATCTGTTAGATGCTGGAAAATCAACTATCGGAGGACAGATCATGTGAGTAACCCTT